AAGTCTTTTAACAGTTACTTAATTTTCTATACTTACTGAATTATTTATACCTGATTTTTGTTAAAATTATGCAGAAACTTGAACGTATGGTAGACCGTATGAGTGGCTCTCAAGTATTAAACTCGCTATACTGAACAAATATCTGAAAGGTAGTGACTTTGAAGGATCCAATGTGGAGCAATGTGGAGTAATATATTGTTTTTCATATTTTGATATTATTTGATATTTATAATAAACATAATTTGTTAAACAAGTACAGTCAATGCAATCTGAAATATTCGAAATTATTCGATTTCTTTTTGATACACGCAACAAAGGCGTCTTACTTAGATATTATCGATTATTCTAGAAATTAGGGACAATTTTTTAGATAATTGGTCGTCGACTTTGTTTAAATTATAAATCATACGCATTGAAATCGATATATGAAAGGCCAGGTTAGATTTCCTGAGGTCAAATAAGCGCAGTCGTCGTAGTTTATAAGTCGATTTTTTTCACATTTCATTCTTTAAATTTTCGGTTTTGGCTTTGTGTGGGAGGTGCGGTTTTGATGTTGAATTCCACTATTTTTTCAAAGTGTTTTGAAGTGTTTAAGACTGGTTATGACTGTTAAAGACTGTCTAATAAAATTTTATATGCTTTCTATCTTGAATTCCGCTATTTTTTCAAAGTGCTTACAAGTGTTTAATAATGAATACTCTTCCAAAAGGGTATTGTGTTAACTTTATTGAATTATGTCCGACGTATTTATTCTCATTAGTTGAGAGGAAGGAAAAGCAAGCGTGGTTGACGTTTATCTACGTCTGTATAACTATATCGCAATGGATTAAAGAAAAGATTTAAAACTAACTAAAGATATCAAAAAATTTGTAAAAATATCCAAAAAATTGTAAAAATCGGACGGCAGGTCTCTAAAAATGCACAAAAACTAGTTAGAATGTCTTTGAGGAAAAATAAATATGTTTTTTGACTACGAACAAGGAAAAATTTATATATAAAATCTGTTGAATAATATGTAAATATATTAATGTATTTTATAGTTACAATACGTCCGCCACTACTTCTTTAAATACATTTTAACTCAATTCAAAGCCAACTCCGGACTGCATTGCATACAGAAGTTTTTCACGCATTTGTACAACCGATTTGAAAGGTGGTAATTTGAATAAATTTGTACAAGTACTAGCCGTAGGCAAACGTTCCATATCACCAGCATTTTGTATAAAAAACGGAGAATCCAAGTCCTGTTCAAACAAGGCAATTTTCAGTCAAAAAAAGAAACTACAGAAATGCTACCGCAACAAACTGACATTGAAGCCAAGTAGCGGCGGTCTTGAGAAACTAGTGACAAATTTTAGCAATTGCCGCTTTTGCATATCATCAAAACTTTCTATAGCGCACCAAAATGCCACAATTGAAGGCTGTTCGGGGTTGTAGTCGGCGCCATATTTACAATTTTTTTTAAGATTTTCGAAGTCGATAGGAATTTCTGCGCCCGATATTAATATTTGAAGTTCTTTATTACTAAACATATACAACCATTCCAAAGGCAAAACATTAGAAAGACCTTTTCGGAAAGCCACACAGTGCCGACGAATTTGAACATTTAGTTTATTGTCGGCCATTAATTGGACATATTCGGTGCGATTTGAATTCGTCAAGGATATTCTTTGATCTTGTGATTTTGGTTCTAATACTTGTGGTTGACCCGACGAGCTAGTTGCTACCGTAAAATCCACATTTAATTCGGCAACGTCGCCTTCGTAATCTTTGAGATAAAGCAGATTTTTGTATAACTCTAGATCCAAAGATGCTAGCTGATGAATATCAACATCAGCATATTTGCCCGCCAATTTCGTAAGAAAAAATTCCGCCAGCGGCAGTTCAACCAAGATGTTTTCATCTATGGTTTTTCCTAGAATTTTTCCCATAAAATAGTAGTGTTTTTTTTAAGTCCACCAACAAATCTCCCATGTTCGGATTTCGATACAATTTGTTGTCTGTCGTTACCCTGAAAATTTTAACGTATCCATGATTAATTATTAACAATAATATTACAAAACTTACATAAAAAATTCCCGATTTGGATCAAAAGTAATCTTAATTAATTCTGAAAGAAATTCACGAAATACTCCACCACCATCTATGCCAGCTTCATCCAAACCCAAAGAGTATACGAACTGAATACGAAATTTTAAACGCAAATCGGGTTCTATTTGAACACTTCACGCGTTATTGCAAAACTGGGAAACAATATGTTGTCAAAATTACTATTTTCTGGCCTTAATTTATCGTAACCATCTTTATACAAATGAGTTCTTCTCACTGTCAACATTATCGAAGGACCTTGTAGAAATGCTTGCAAATGTCCCTGGATCCTCATTTTATCTGCAGCCACAAGACCTTGCAAGATATTAACGCGTTTACTGAAAGCTACCACAAATGGTATCTCACGCAATATGGTAATAGACGTGATTTGCTTGGTTAGACATGAGAGGGTCGTTTTCAAAATCCTCACTAGTAAAATCTCTTATAGGCTGAAATGGTCTTATGCCCCGAATACGACAACTTATGCCGCGCGTCAAAGGCTAATCGCTAGGCCGATCCAATGGCAAATCCAGACGGCCCACGATCCAATGGGACTCTGGACAAAAGCCTAAACGCAAATCGCGAGTGTGAGTTTGATTTAACACGAATACAACCACTTTTAGTAAATTCGACCATATTAGCTTTTGCTGTTTCATTCGTTTGTCGTCTGAGTCGGAAAGAGCTAACACAAAACCATCGTGCTGATTTAGGGTAGATCGCGTCTCTTGTAAGGCTAATTCCACCAGACCTAATAATACTTCTTTTAAAGTCTTTGATAATTGAACTATTTCAGCAAGAGTAAATGGCATCAACCGAACGTGTAAAGTGGGTTGCAATGGCTTTTCGATCAGCAACTTTTCGTCGCAAAAGTCAATATCATGTAAAATTGGCAGGAGACGACCAAACAACATACAGAAAGTTGCTAGTAATGAGACAAACGATGAGAAATTGGGTACTTTTGCTGTATTAAGGAATGCAATTAAAATGGCATCAATTCCTACAAGGACAATATAAGTACGATTTTATTTATTTATTTTATTTATTCCACTTATACTACAAACTCAACTAAACAAATAACAGTCGAGTTCAATTGGCTCTTAATGCAAAACTTATATTAATTAACAATAAAATTGAGTATAAGCATAATAAAACAAATAAGAAGAAAAAAAACGAAGCTTTTTGATATCAATATCAGCGGTGCGTTAAAACCCTGCTGCTGCGACTGAGCTACCAACGTAAACCAAACAGCCCGTATGAAATTTGGCATAAATGGGAGTGTATACAAGAATCTGAAAGGATATCCGATATATTCGCGTTATAGTAAATAGCATTTGTCTCGCCTACTTGTACTCGAATATCGCAGTTTTATTGTATATCATAAGATTATGGCAAATTTCACACAGTCCTTGGAGGACGCCGTCATCCTTGAGATAGTTTTCAATATTATCAGCAATTTCAACAAATTTTGCTTTTCGCTCTCAGTAAGTAGTACAGTAGGTGAAGTATTAACTACGTCCATTGCTTGCAAAGGACGTTGATTTGTGTAAATACTTTCACTAATAGAAATTTACAAATATAATACACATGTGTACAAATGCACAAAACAGAAACATTTAACATTGCATACATATAAATGTATCAAACATAAGTTCGCCGCATTTTTTTTCGAAAGAGAAAGGAGGAGAGATAGATAGATAGATAGATAGAGTGAAAGAGAGAAAGAAAAAGAAAGAGAGAGAGGGAGAAAGAGGGAGGCAGAAATTAACACTTCGCGCTTAAAAGATTTAACGAAACTTTATTTAGCAGAAATTTGTTACCAAGTCAAATCTAATCCAAAATTCGCTTGGAGAGAAGTGTTGAGTGTGCGCTCTTCTGTTATATTTGCTTCAATTTACTGAATGATTAAAGATTGTCGTGTTTTATTATTATTGGACCATAAAATTTATTGCTTACATGTATGTGTGCATTTGAACAAAATTGATGGGCATATATGGTACAGATAAACGTATTTACGTACAGGTAAACCCGCAAACTCATTGCTTAATAATTGAAAATTTGGAGCAATATTGTTAGTAACATGAATACTGCCAATATCTTGCTGTGGTACTTCATCGTCTTTGCCAAACCTTTCAAACTTTTTTTTGTCTTCTCAATTTCGGAAAAGTAAATAGTAAAATGTTTCGTAAAATAAATGTGGAAAATTTCAGACTTCTACCGTTTATAATTTCTTAGTAGCGAGCAAAAACCCACGAATGTTTGTTAAGAAAATGGGTATAAAAACAGCAGAGTTAACAAAGTGAAGTGAGTGAACAACCTAAAGATTGGTTTTCATTTTTTTTCAAAAATAGCATTACCAAGTATCGTAACTCGGTGGAATGTTTTCTTAAAGTGTGCATTTTTAATGACTTGTATTTCTTTGTCATCCATTCTTACAGCTAAAAATTAAATAAAGAAACTTTTCTCTCAGATACTTCCAGAATGAAAAGCAGTTGATCAATAAGAATCTAAAGGCAATCAAAAAATTTACATCAAAGTGCACTTATTTGTACGTACATTATTAAATGAATCACCACTAAAAATTTAGGTTCCGATCATCGACTACCCCTTTCTGAAAAAAGTGTAGGTTTCTCATTTATATTTGCAATAGCATCAAGTTTATTCATTTCATGATCTTAGGATTTTGTTAACGGACTATATCCGTTTTTTTCGACTGGCTCTATCTTCTAAAAATAGTAATTGAAATACAAACAAGTTAGTATAATTCGTATAACATTTACAGCGTAAGTTTGCTTAGAGGAAAAAAAACTTCAAAAAATTCTGCCTGAATATACATTGGGATGCGTAAACGATACTCCAAAATAGGAACCATTTAGTCAAGCAAAATCCTTCTCCGTTGCTATGAATGAACTTTTCTCAAGTGATCGTAACGTAAATCGTAGTCAAGACGGTGGTGACAATGTTTACCCTGAACGCGAAAATGAACGTCCAAATATCATAACAAATAAGTCGACATATGGGGATACGTTTTTCCGATTATTTGGAGTAATTCCTTTGCAGTGAAGCGAAAAAAGTTGCTTCCGCTGCTACCAGCAAGTTCTTATGATTTTCGGACGATGCCCATAAATAATATTATAATTGAAACTGGTCTCCCAGTTTTAGAAAATAGACCTTATGAGTTAAAAGGTAAAATAGTCCATCAAAATTATAATAATAATAATAATATTTTCTATAGTGATAGACGTCATTTAAGGTCTTGCAAACTACTCTGAACGGATTAAACAGCTCATAATTATATTTACACTGACTAAGCTTAACCAAGATAAAGTGCCTAGCGGTTAGGGACATCAAAACTTATTTCACCAAGTAATAAAGGCGAGTCAAAAGCACCATTTATTACATTGATTACAAAGGAAACGCCAAGAACAAACCTACGTTTCTCAAGAGACGGTAAGGACAGCAGAAGCAACCTATTTTCATAGGGAGGAAGAGAGGCAATCGGATCCCAATTCAAATTTCTAAGGGCAAACATCGAGAATTTCTTTTGAACAGATTCAATTGAATCTACATAGTACCTATATGAAGGAGACCACACAACAGAGGCATACTCAAGTGTAGGTCTAACCAAACACATGTACAACCTTTTCGTAAAGTAGGGATCATCAGCTCTTTGGACCACCTTTTTATAAAACGAAGCGCGGACCTAGCTTTGCTTATCGAGAGCTCAATATGCAAGTTAAAACATAACCTATGGTCAAATAGAACGCCTAAATCTGTGATCGAATCGACGTCCTCCAACTTTTGCGAATCAATGAAATACTGAGTAATGAATGACTTATTCTTGAGAAAGAAAGCTTCTTACATTTATTTAGATTCAATTTAAGAAGATTTGAAGAGCACCATGCAACAAAATGATCCAAGTCACCTTGAAGCTGATGTGATTGCGATTCAACACATTTCGCAGTAAAAAAAATTCTTTTGCTGTTTTTTGTTTGGTGCATTCAGTTGTAAGTTACAGCGTGTTAAAAATGGAAGTGAACAAAGAGAAAATTCGGTACATTTTACAGTTTTTCTTTGACAAAGGCGAAAATGCAAGCCAGGCGGCTAGAATCGTGAATGGTGTTTATGGTTCCGACACTGTAACAGCCAATTATGTGCAATTTTGGTTTCGTAGATTCCGGAATTTTTGATGTTAAAGCATTTTTTAATGCATCCGCCATACAGTCCGGACTTGGCACCAAGCGATTATCATCTTTTTCTTGCATTGCAAAATTTCTTTAATGATAAAAAATTGGAATCTAGGGAGGATTGTGAAAATCGACTACTAGAGTTTTTTGCAAATAGAGACCAGGACTTCTATGAGAGAGGCATTTTGAAGGTACCTTTAAAATGGCAACAAGTCATACAACAAAACGGTGCGTATTTGACCCAAATCGGACAATCCGAAGCATGTTAAATAAAGTCCTGAAGTTCATATAAAATAATGGATTTCTTTTTCCCCAAACTAATGTAATGTCTGCGGTACTTTTTAAGAAAATGTTTTGAACACGAAGAAGAAAGCGTGGAAATTGTAATCCTTTCAGTGATATTCATTCATATGTATACGCTCGCGTCGTCCTTGCAAAATTTGTCTCGCTCTCACGTACGAATATTAATAATAAATAAAACTTATTTCAATCGAATTAGTTTATTTCATATTATGATAATATATATTTATCATACTTTACAATTTTTCCCCATGTTATCTTTTTGTTTCTTTATTACCATTTCTTTCTTTCCTTTTTTTTGTTTTCATTAAACAGAGGCCATTATGCCCGTGAAACAGTTGTAGCTGTAATATTAAATCTGAGCTGTTTTAGCCGTAATTAATTGAATATCTAATTTAAAAGCAGATGAAATCTATTAATTATTTCATTTTATTACTATTATTATTATTTATCAAATTTATTAAATTTGATAAAATTTTTATTGCACTAAGTTATTCAATCTCGTGTTTAAATTCGCATAACTTAAGTCTATGATGCAGGCAGTGGTTTGCCAATTTTTGGTTAATATGTAAATGTTAACATCTTTCTATAACATTATTTTTGTTCCTTTCTAACATTTTAATATTAAGAATTTTCTTCTTCACGAGCATAATTTTTCAAAAGCTATGTCGATCAGAAAGGTTCACGAACTCTTTAAACGCAACTTCCATAATTTTCTGTTGTTTGCATAAACATATTTTTTGTTTTATTTGCTTCTTATTTTTTTGCTTTCGCAAGCGTTCCTTTCAAGATATTCCAAAAAAAAATCTCTACTTCCGAAATCGAGGCCCTTTGCTTTTTACCCTCAACCAACACACTGCAGTCCTCAAAGTACCACAGCTCAAACACCACTCTCTCTCCTCAATTCACCGCATAAAGCATCAAAAGTAGAACTGTCCTCGAACGGCAACTCTGTTCAAGCGCTGTGGTCATATTTTTCTCTTTGTGAAAAAATTTTTGCAATTTAATTTCTTTATTGCGTTATACGTTTTTAAAAGTTTTCAAACTTATTAAAATTTATTGAACTTTTTGTGTGTTTATTGCGAAAAGTATTCATCGCGGATACCGTACGTGTTTTCCTTTAAATACATTAAAAAAAAAAAAAAAATTAAAAACATCTGACATTTTATTCAGTAGTTTCCCAAACCTTTTCTAGTGAGTGGTTATTTCACAAATAATAAACAATAGACAACAATAAGGCATAATGGCCCCGTGGCCGTCAGATAAACACTCGAATAGATTTCATCTATTAAGTGATACATCCCCCCAACGAAAAAAAAGTAAAAATTCCGATTTTCCGGTGTTGCCAATTAGCGATATAACCCCTATTGATAAAAAATATGTTGTTATTTCTTCGACCGATGCTAGAATAACAATTTCCCAAATTAGCCCTTTTGCTATAAAAAAGCTCTAGATAGCATTACAACATACATCGACTCCATCTCGATTCTACGCGATGGGAATTTACTGGTCCTCGCTGGGAACCCGCGCGCAACCGAAAAGCTCATAAAGGCCAAATCTTTAGCTAATCTATGTGATATTTCAGCTAAACTACATGAGAAATTTAACTCGGTTCGAGGCGTAATTTATGCCCTTTGCTTAAAGCATGTGCCGGAAGATGAAATTGTCCGCGAAATGGGCAATCAAGGAGTGACTGAAGTATATAAATTTACCAAACTGAATGATGACGGAAAACACGCTCTCCTACAGGAAGGATTATTTTAACTTTTGATGGCTATCGATTACCGCGAACAGTTGATGTTGCGTGGTATATATGTAAAGTAGAACTATACATCCCAAATTCTATGAGGTGTAAAAATTGCCAACGCCTGGGTCATACGGCAAAAAGATGCACTAGTGCTGCATATTGTGCTAACTGTGGTCATCCTCCACATACTGAAAGCT